CAGGGGGAAAACCGCGGCCCCGCGGGGATCGGCCCTCCTGTGGGGCGGGAGGAGCCCTCCCGCGGCGCCCTGCGCGCTCCCGCTGAGGTCTCCCCGCCAGAATGAACAGGCCCGAGGAGATGGAGAGAAAGGCAACATGGCTGCGTTGGCACCCCGTTCCCCGTGCGACCCGGCCGAGGGAAGTATCCGCGGGTGATGCAGGGGAGCGGGCGCAGAGGCCGCCATCAGTGGACCCTTGCGACACGTTCCCGTGCAGCCTCGCCCTGCTGAGCGTAGCGGGCGGGCCCAGTGCCCCGCACCGTACCTGTGGCGGCAGCCTGCTCCTACCCCGTCCCGCCACGTGCTGTCGGTGTGCCGAGCTCGGCCTCGATCGAGCCGCCCGCACCTCAGGCTGCGACGCCCCCCGCGTCCCGCCGTGTCCTGGGGACGTGCCTCAGCGTGCCAGGCCTTACCTGGCTGCCAGGCCTTACCTGGCTGCCGCCGCCGGCCTGGGGCGCGCCGGGCGGTGGTGGTCATCTGCCGCGGTAAAAGCTCCGGCAAACCGTCGGTCCCGGACATTCTCTTGGCATCGCCAGTGTTGCCAGAGGTCGTTCAAAAATCTGGGCAAACGGTCAAAATGGAAATAAGAAGAAAACAACATAGAAGCTGAGATGGTACTTGAAAGCATAGGTTTTCAGAATTTGCATGGGTGAAGGTAGATGCTGCCTTTTTCTCAGGATATTGCTTCTGATTTATTCATTCTGCTACTCAAAAGAATAAAGGAAGAAAGTCTGTACGATGATTTGCTTTTTATTGACTTTCAGTTGTCTAATTTGTTTTCATTCCTGTATTAATTAGAATTAATATATTTACATTTAGCTTCCGGTAGAGTGAAGTTATGTTAACTAATTGACTGTGAGGCTGATGAGAGAACAGGAGCATCAACTGATGGCGGCTGCTAGGAGTGAGAAATAGCTCTCTGAGAAGCCAGTTTGTGAAAGATGAGCATTTGACACAGAATCCATTTGTCAACTATTACAGGATCTGTTAGCTACTCAGGTTTCACTTCCTTTAGTTAAAACATGTACATTTTTGGATTTAATGATTGCTTGTAGCATCTGTAACTGTAAATAGCAATTATTCATAGGCATGTTAAGTATTACTGTGTCTTAGTAAAATTGGGGTTTAAGAGAATGAGGAGTAAGGTTGGTGTACATGTTTGGCATAAGCCTTTTGATCAAATAAAGGTCTCCACAAAACAGTCTTTTTTATGGTATCTGTTTTTGATTGAACAAGCTACATATGTATGTTAAAATAGACATAAAATAAGTATGCCTGTTAAAATACATAATTTGGCTTTAATAGATATGTGTGTGATTTCCCATGCACATTTTTTTGGCAGAAAATGCATTTGGCATTTTGGTAGTTCTTGGCAGAATCTGTCTTTATTCCCCCTAAGTTATTCTTGATAGTGGCATGCATTGTCGGTAATAACCTTGCTAAAAACCTGACGTAACTGCCAGCGATTGCCATGGAACAACCCCAAAATGTAAATTTAATAGTAATCTAAATAAAAATAATCAAGTCTGAAACACTGATTTCCTTTGCCCTGTCATGCTCAACACATCACTATGCCAAGGACGGGACTTAAAAATATGTCTCATTCTCTCTTTGTCGTTGCAGTTGGACGCATTGTCTTTGAATTATTTGCTGATGTTGTACCTAAAACTGCTGAAAATTTCCGTGCGTTATGTACAGGAGAGAAAGGAACAGGGCCTACCACTGGAAAACCTCTCCATTATAAAGGATGTCCTTTCCACAGAAGTAAGTTCTATGAAATCCTCTGTTTCCCTGTTGGTAACAGAAGTAGTCCGTTATCAGTACTTGAAATAATGTTAAATAATATTTTGGAGCACTTGTTTAAGAAATAACTTGACTGAAAGTAAGTTTTTGACTTTTTGATCCTCCTAATGACTAGATGTTTTTACCATGCATTGACAGTAGCAAACTATAAATTTACCAGTAAGTTAGTAATAGTAAAACTAGTTTGCTATGAATTGTGAATAGGTTGAAATGGATTTCAGGTAAAGGGTTAAATATCAAGTGATGTCCACTTAACTGAAAAGGAGTACTTAGGGGAGACTTGATAAATAAAAGGTGGTTTTCAGTTTTATTTAGGCGCAGGTGCTGGTGACAGGGATTGCTCTTCATCTCTGAATTGGTTTTCTTTATGCCTTTTCTGCCTTGCTGCAGTATTTTATAATTATTTTCTTTTACAGTTATTAAGCAATTCATGGTCCAGGGTGGAGATTTCTCAAACCAAAATGGTACAGGTGGAGAAAGTATATATGGTGAAAAATTTGAAGATGAAAACTTTCATTATAAGGTACTCTATTGAAAATACTACTTGTATTCAGTTTTTAAAGTTTCAGTGGTTTTTATTTTTCTTCAAGTTCAGAATTAGTTAACGTATTTTAAAGCAGGTTAATGTATTTTTGAGCAGTGGAAAGAATGCAGCAAAAAAGCCCTGAACTATAGTTTGTCCTTGAAGTCTTTGTTGAATACAGAACAAATACATGTATGAATACATACAAAATGAGGTCAACCTCATTAAGGCAAAGACAACCATAGTCTAAATTTTCTTTTTAACTGCACCATCAGAAATTAATTTGAAACAGTACTTTAGCTCTCATTGAAGTAGGGATTTATTTTAAAAGAGTGGCAAATTTTGTCACTCTGAAGCATATACATTATGTTAGCATTAAATGGATTTTATGCCTTTTTTTCATATACTAATAACAGTAATAAGATTAGATGTGAGAAATACCTTTCTTATTTAAGAAGTGGGGAATCCATGGTAGATTGCAGAATTAATCCAAAGGAAAATTTAAAAGACAGCATTTTCCCCACTACAGTTATTTTCAATGATACGAGAAGTAAAAGGCTGTTTATGATTGTTTGGGGTTTTTTTCACCCAAAATGTTGGAAAAATGTGCTGTGAACAAAGCAAGTTTTTGAATATGCAAAGATCTCGATTTGAGGATGTCATTTTAAGAGATGCTGGCTTTGATGGCAGAAATTCCTACCCCTCCCATTAGTTATTCCCACTCCTGTATCAGAGCTTCACTATTTCATTACTAGCAACCATTAGTGCAGTCCCACAAGCAGTTTTGTCAGCCCAGCTGTGGGAAGAGAGGAGGGAGCTCTGCTGCAAGAGTAGGAAATTCTAAAACTGTCTTTCCTCGACATCGACATCTTGTGACACCAGGAAGACTGCAGGTGCATGTGCTTTACATACACAACAAGTACAATTTTTGAACAACAGTTTTCTCAGGATGTGTCCTGTGTCTTCTCTTGTTTCTTTTGCAAAGGCATAACCGTCGAAATGTCCATTACCATTCTTCAGGCTTCTCTTTGTCATCAAAATCAAATGCAGTTGATGCCTACAGGGTCTGTCTTTTGACACAAGATTGACTTCTTTTTTATGCTTTTGAAGAACAAATGTTTACCTTCTGTATTTTTAAATCTTTTTTTTAAGCATTTTAGTTCTACCTTTCTTTAAAAATGGGTATTCCAGAAAGGGAAGAGGACTGCTTTTCACCATACTGTACAGCAGGTCTGTGTACCTTAAGCCTACAATTTATACAGTATTTGAAGATCTCCAAATTTAAGTATTACCTGTACACTGTAACTTACATTTTTTGGATAGCAGACTTAGCTATTCTGGCAAAAAGTGGCAACCACAATAATTGTCCTGAGTGCTCATCTGTGTTCTCAGATGTACATAAAGGGCTGTGTGGCTGGAAAAAAATCCCCTGTGCTTGAACTACCAGTATCTTGAACCTATGTGGGAGTACTACCTGGAAACAACAAAAATAACATGTTCTGCAAGTACCCCTTACAACAGCCAGGACACCCGCTGTTGTAGGTGTAACAGTTCTCAGCACTGGCATTAACCATTTTCATATCGTGTTACTATGTGATAGCATATGAATGACTCCTCAAGAACACTGACTAAAAAACTTACAGTCAACGTTGTCCCGTGGCTAAAACAAAGCCCTGACTGCAATTGTGCTTGCCTTCAAACAGTATTTTAGGAAAAGAAAATATGGCAATCCTCCACTAATTAGGCATCAAAGTCCATGACCAAGTTTGGAGCAATAGCTGGAAGTGTAGCTCCAGCACTCGTCATAGAGTTAATTGCAGTTGTGAGAGATGTTCTCTGAAGTCTGACACTCACAACGGTGGTGCCCATAGCACTGCTGCTTAAAGTTACTCTTCTGCATTGGTCCTTGTCACAGGATCTCTAGCTCCCTGAAGAAGGAGACTGTGTCATCGTTACTTTTTTGGTTGTACTGTCAAGTGAGATCTGGAGGTAATTATGAACGAACGCAGATGATCCCCATTTCTGTACTTCTCTGACTGCTCAGCTATAACAAAAGTTGTCGATGTGCCAGGGATGACTCGAAGAACTCACTTGGATCTTGTACAGAGTCTGGGAGCTCAATTCCAATCATCTGTTGGCCAAGTATGTTAGGATTTTAGTGGGAGTTAAAATGCTGCTACTATGTAGAAATTCACTGGATCTTGCACTTAATCTAGCAGTCCTGCAAAGTGTCCTCAAACCACTGTCTTGGACAACAATGAGTTGTTTTTCTTGACACTTGAGGACACTGGAGCTACCTGTTTGTTCTTATGTTGTTTGTATGGTTTGCTGTAAATTGCAATAAACCGCAAGACTTTGTCAGTAGTCAGCTTACCATGTCAGATCAATCCCACTAGGCTTTTCTTGGTGTCAGTTCTCCAGCTAATGGCCATGCTGTTGTGGAACACCCAACTTACACAGTCCTCAAGCAGTGTTGTTACCATGGCACAGTTTTGCAAGCCTGGAATCCGTCAGAGAATCTGATTTTGTCTGGACTTTTTTACTTGCTTTATAAGCTCACAAAATGACAAGCAGAAATCATCACGGGAAAGACACTATCATCTGCAGTGTTTTTCAAAACACTCGTGGCAAGAAAATGCATGAGTGACAAGAGTCTTGTTTATAAATAGGGACTCTCATCATGGGACTAATGTTGAGACTTGGTCCCAAATGAGATGGGGCTGCGTGTAAGTGTGAAGATCAGAAGAGCCACCAGACTGCTGTCCATAACTTTCCAACTTGTCCTCCAAATCTTTACAGACAAAAGGTAAACATGTAGGTGTAAGGCAACACCAGAGCTTGTTGTTACTTGGCTCTTTGTTTACAAACCATTGCTGTCAAGCATTAGTTGTAATTGGGGAAAAAAAAAAAAAGAAAAGTAAGATTTACAGGTTTTATTCTGCCTCTTGGGCAGTGCATCAGTGACCAGCCGCAAATGGTATTTGCAAAAATGTCCTACGGGGGAACCCTTCTGATTAACTTGTTTGCCAGCAACTATGATGCAAATTCCTGCAGGCTTGCTACCAGACGCCTTCTCTTGCTGTGGAACACAGGTTTCCTCTGTGTCATTTGCCATCTCTGATTTCCAGGATGAGTTTCAAGATTAGAAGAGCCAAAGCCAAGATTATTCCAGTAGCTTTCTGTTGGCTAGGTACAAGTCTAGCTCTCAGTTGTACAACCTTTTCCCAGAGTTCCTCAGCCAAATCCTGGTTGAAAGATTCAGACTCATTGTGCCATATGACCGGATGAACACCTCAGGCAAGGAGTTCTCCCTACCACCACGGAAATCCAAACACTGTGTGGGAAAAGTTTTCAAAACAACAGGTTCTTTGAAGTGGTAGAGAATGTGGGGACAAACCAGATGCTTAAATACAGCTGTCTCAGACTGTTGTCTCAAACTAATCAACCTCCCGTCGAGCTCGGAGGTCTACTTCACAGCAATTTCTGCTTCCATCTCCTCTGTGCTGTCATACTTTTTTTTTTTTTTCGCCATCCCCTCCTCCCCACAGTATCAAGTTTCTTAGGAATACCACAGCTTGCATGCTTCAGTCATGTACCAGTGCCTTGGTATAACATACTGACTTTGTTAAACGGAGTTCCTTGCACTTAATAACCACATCAGCTTGGGGAGAATAATATCTTAATGGCTGTGTCATGCCAGTTTAACAACAAGAGATTCACAACACGTATGAAAAGTACATTTTTGCAGTACAAGCGAAAATGAAATAATCTGTGTGATGGAGCAAGATAATTCTTAGTTCAAAGAAGGAAAAAGTACTTACGGGAAACAAGATAAACAAAATCTTCTCATGTTGGGCTGTTTAACAAATTTTTGTTAGTTTGTGGCCTGGTAGCATAAGCCAAAATAATTAGATGGTTAAAAATCCCAACAGAATAAAAACTGTCTCTCTAGGAAAGTGAAGGAGTTAAAAAAACCCCACTAACCTTTAAAAAATAAAGACCACAGTCCCCTAAAACCCATAGTTCTACAACATACTTTGTGCGAGTAGCCCTTACAAAATTAACAATACATACCATTTTGACAGTGTAACATTAAAGGTGGTTGAAGTGGTGTTTTGCTTTGTTTCTTGAGGCCACCAGTCTTGAATAATCAATCCAGTGAGGAACTTCAGATGTCTCTCAGGTGATCTGTCTAAACTCGGCAGCTGCGCAGGAGATTGAGCGTACAAGAAGCAGACAGATGTTACAGCATCAAGTCACACATGTGGCTCTGCTTGCTAGACTGCTAGGTGGCAAGTAAAGATGCAGAGCTGGGCAATTTGCCCTCTTCAGTCATGATAGGTAGAATTAGTTGCCAACTGTATGTAACTGTCAGGTTTACCATTTGTCATTATGGCTGTCCTTGCTCTCTATATAAATAGCCTTACAGAATCTTACGTATGGTTTCATAACAGATCTTTTATATGTTGATTGTGGTTTTTTTTTCCCCAATGCAGCATGATAAACCAGGGCTGCTGAGCATGGCAAATGCAGGACCCGGTACTAATGGCTCTCAGTTCTTTATTACAACGGTGCCTACTTCTCACCTGGATGGGAAACATGTGGTGTTTGGCCAAGTGATCAAAGGAATGGGTGTAGTTAAAATATTAGAAAACGTTGAAGTAAAAGGAGAAAGTCCTGCTAAGGTAAGCAAAATCCCAAGCACTTTGGGATGATGTTTATCCTTCCATTATATGATGTATATTCATTTCTTCTAAGTGCTTGGTGTAATGTTTAGAACTATTAAATGTTAACTGGTTATTTTTACTAACAGTGTTAATTTCCATTTTACTGTCCTTGTTAAGAGGCTTTTGTTCTTTTGCTGTAAATTTCCCCTGCACAAACAATTGATTTATTGTTCAGCACAGCTGTGAGGGTGGAAGCCTTTTATCAGGGTGACGGTGCAAATGCACAGCTGGAAGTGTAGAATGGGTGATGAAATTAAAAGGTGGAATTTACAACCCTACCTAAGTGTTATGTAATTCTTGTGAATTTTATGTCAGAAGTTGTATTTCTGGAAGAGCAGTCAGTTTGTAGGTCATGTCAGTTTGTGGTTGTTTGAAAAATTAATACCTCTGTAACTTTCAAAGATTTAGCAGTTTGAGAAAGAACTGTCTTCTCCAGTGTAGTAGAACTTCGATGTCGTGTGTTTTGCTGCAGCTCACCTTGCTGCCGGTTCCTCTTCCAGCCTTTCCGTGGAGCGTGGGTATGGTATTCTTGGAATGCTGCTCCTCTGAAGGCAACACTTTCTGTGATAAAAGCCTTTTGATGAGGATAGGCTAATGATGTGGTGGGTTTCTGAAATCAAAGCACCCAAACAACAGATGAAAAAGCATTTTAACTGAATTTTAAACAGCACTCAGAAGTTGTGTCTTTCTTGGGGGAAATTGTCTTAATAAGCAATACTGCTATTTACACTTTATTTTTTCAGTTGTGCGTCATTGCAGAATGTGGAGAGCTAAAGGAAGGAGATGATTGGGGAATTGTTCCCCAGGATGGATCTGGAGATGCTCATCCAGATTTTCCTGAAGATTCAGATATAGACTTGAAAGATGTAAGTATTTTTCTTTTAAGGCATTTTACAGAATGCAAGACTTGTAGGTAATCTGAGTTACATGATGTCTGTGATGATGTTCACGAAGCGTTTTTTCTTAAGAACTGATCAAGGTCCTGATTAAATGGTGACATTAAATTTTAGGAGAGAGAATGCTGTGGGGAGGGGATTGCTATCTCTTTTTTTCAGTGCTAATTGCAGCTGATTTTTTCCCCAGTAACTAAAACCAAAATTACTTACAATTATTACACTTAATTGTTTTCTGTTCTTCATTTCTTTTTCACTTTTGTTTGTGCTGTAGTGACAAATTGCTATTACTAGAACTCCGTCCTGCAGATGACTAACTTAATGTTGTACCTACACATGTTTTCTGTGCAACTTTTTAAATATCCACCCTTAAAAAGATTTTGACTCACTTACTAGAAATAATAAAAGATCAAGCTTTTTAAAAGATCTTTACTACATCAGAGCTAGTCTTTCTCAATTCCCAGTAGTTGTTTGCTTTTCAAGTTGTTCAAACTGAAGGAAGACCTGTTGTTGAGAGTTAGGGAGCAAACTGGTGAAAGCAGCTCTTCTGCAGGTTTTTACTTTATCATTAAAGTGAAATAGACAAACTGTGTAAATCAAAGTGTTTTGTGAGAGGGGAAAAAAAGGGGGCTGCACGTGTAGATTCCAAATAGAAATAGAATAGTAAAAAAATATTACAGCTAGAAACCAGAAACTCCTTGTATCTGGCTATTGAGAAGCACTTCAACTTGTGAAAATGTTTTTGGATAGCATTTGCTGTGGTTCAGAACTGAAGTTGGCAGGTGCCTGCCTCCTCTAACTTTAAACTTGTTCATATAAACTAACTACAGAAACCATAGTGATGTTGGTCTCATGCTGTGATCGTTTTTTTTCAAGGTCATTAATTCTAGTAGGGTAGAAGTGTAAACTGATAGTATTACAAATGGCAATATATACATTTGACAGAGCTTAAGACAACTGTGGTATAGACAGCAGTAATGATAAACTGTTTATTGCCACTGGAAAAGTAACTTAACACTTGAAATGTATGCCATTCTGGAAATAGAAACGATGGATTTGATAAAGACAGGCAGTTGTTCTCTTTCTCCTTCCATAAATGTTTTAAGTGTTTTGAGAGAAGGAGAGTTGTGTTGATATGACTTCTAGTTCGAGAGCAGGCAGAGTTCAGGTGACTAATGCCGTTTTGGAAGCAGAAGACAAAATTTTCTCGGGAATAAGGCAGTCTTGGTTGAATACTTTGATTGTTAACATGCCTTTTCTATGAATAACGGTCAGCACCTTTTATATATAGCTCTGTGTGGGTAGCAGCATTTAGAGGAAGGAGTTGAACTGCTATGTTGTCTCTGGTATTTTCTCAGCCTTTATACTGTAGAAAACCCATTAGGAATTTCATCTTTCATACTATTGTGTTACATAAAGTAGAGCATATTATAGGAGTGGTTTGAAGCTAGTATTTGTCTAAAATTGGAATATTTTTATTCTGAGATTTTATAATAATCTTTGAAAGACGATGGACATGGGATCCTACTATTAAACATTAAGTAATTCAAGACTTCTTTCATAAGTACATTCATACTTTATATTTTCCATCTATTTTATTAGGTTGACAAGATTGTGGCCATAGCAGAAGACATAAAGAATATAGGAAATACTTTCTTCAAATCGCAAAATTGGGCAGTGGCAGCTAAAAAGTATAGTAAAAGTTTACGGTAAGGCTATCATCATTCAATCAGGTAGTTCCTATAACCCAAATTAATACTGCAGTCAACCAATGATATGCGCATTTAAAAAACGCCTGTTGCTGTGCTTTTTTTTTTTTTTTTTTTTTTTTTTTTTTTTTTAAAAGACCCTTTCACATTT